CCATCGTTCCATGTCTAGTCCTAACTGTTGCTTCTTGACCTGCATACAGGTTTCTCAGGAGGCAGGTAAGATGGTCTAGTATTCCCATCTCTTTAAGAATTTGCCACAGTTTGTTGTGATCCACACAGTCAAGGCTTTAGCATAGTCAATGAAGCAGAAGTTGATGTTTTTCTGGAATTCTCTGGCTTTTTCTGTGATCCAACAGATCTTGGTCATTTGATCTCTGGTTCCTTTGCCTTTTCTAAATCCAGGTTGTATATCTGAAAGTTCTTGGTTTAAACAACCGCTCAATTGTACTCATTTCACATGCTAGCAAGGTAATACTAAAAAATGCTCCAAGGTAGGCTTCAACAGTATGTGAACCAAGAACTTCTAGGTTTGGATTTGAACTGAAAGGAAGGGCTGTTAGACAAATGAGGGTGCTCTGTCGTAAGGTCCCGTAAACCCTTCCTGTGATCTAGATAAATTTTCTCCATGCCAGTCCCATATGACTTTAATTTCTGAAAAAGATATTTCAGGCCGCATGGATTTTGTGATATTCAAAGCATGTAAGTAAAGCCTGGCTTAGATCTGCTTTGGAGGCAAGAGAGGAAAAATCAAATCAAAGTTTGGCAAACTTGAACTTGCTTTTGTAACTTCTTGACAGCACTAACTTCTAGATCAGAAATGCAATATGAATTCAAAGTTCCAGGATCATAGAGCAGGTAGAAGATTTCCAAGAAAGTCCCTTTGGTAGAATGAGTATCGGTACAGACCACAGTAAGGATATTTGTGGAGCTCCACCGGGGTGATGCTGCCGTACTGTTGACTTTCAAACTGGGAAATAACCCAACGGGGCAAGGCTGCAGCCAAGGGGATTAGTGATGCTCTGGATGAAGCATTCCCTAAAGCAAGTGTGTGGACCCAGGTCGGCAAAGGGCATGTGCTCCGACAACGTTATGAACTCCTGTGGTGAAGTCATGTGAGTTTCCTTCTTGAAGGACTGCTGTGAACTTTCATATACTGAATCTCCAAGATGGGGAGTGTCATATATACAGTTTCCCTAAATTATCTGGCCGTGAACTCTAGTCATCTTTCAGGGCTTGTCCTCTATAGAGTACACTTTTAGAAATAGAATAGCAATGATATAATGGTTTTAAAACCATTAGGCATGTACCATCTGCCAGACACCATATTAGCACTTTATAAATTCCATCTTACTTTATTCTCACAGCTTTCTAAAACAGGCACTAGTTTTATCTCCATTTTGCAGATGAGGAAACTGAGGTTCTGTTTAAGTCATTTAGTGTGCCGGCAAGTGGCCAAGTAAGAATCTGATTGCAAAAAAGGACTGTATCAGTTATTTCACCCTAAACTTAAGATTCTGAGTTCACTCTCCTCTCATATACTCAAGCCTCAAGCTGTGACCTTACTTAGCACTCACTGTGTATGGACCACTTTTCACAAGAATTCTTGTTATTCCTGTAAGCATCGCTATTATCATAATCAGTCCGGGTCCTCATGAATAGAATGTAACAATTCAGTGCATTTCTGCAGGATTGCAGAACCGACACGTACCAGCACCAGCCTTACAGCTGTCAAGTCACGGGCTCTATGGTTGTGTCCATGCTTTATGGTGTGTGTCGCCTGTGGCAAATAAACCACTCAGCATTTGCCCCTTCTACCTTGTTAAGGCTGTAATTGGAGAGGGATTAATTTATGCTTATTGCGGACAGTAAGCTAAAGCTCATTTATCATGAGTGTTCATTCCTCTGCAAAACGCATACAAACCCACCTAGTGATGTTGGGCAAACTGTGCCACGCATCTGCGGTGGTGTGGAGCAGCAATAGCCCTGCGTTTATTCAGATGCAGATCGGCAAGCAGGAGTCGCCCGCCGAACACAGAGGGCAGCAGCCCTCAGCCTCTCACTGCTGCTGCCTGCTCCTTGCCGCGGAGCAGGCACTCGTGATGCAAAGATGGCTGGGGGAGCGCATACACGTTAGACCTCAGGATACAGGAGCTCATTTTCCCGAAATAATGTGCTAATTGCTTAACACTGTTAATGCCGCACACTTGTAAATGATGCTTTGAGTGGGAATCATTTAGATTTGGAAGATTTCAGCTGGTGATGGGGAGATAGAGGAGGAGGAAGGGAAGAGAAGGGACACGGAGTCCATTCGTGTGTCTGCTTTCTGTGTTAGTGAGAACCTGGCTATAGCAATTTCCTCACTTGAGTTTTACATTTGTTTCAAATGCCAACCCTTTCAAGCAGCCTTAGTATTCTTCCTGGTTTCTCCATAACACTGATGTTCTGCTTGTTCTGAAAGGGCATTCAGCTGGGAATCGGAGGTTCAGCTAATACAGCTACTTGCCTTTACTCATCCTTAGAGTCCACAGCTTCTCCCTGGGTCTCCCTTAATTCCCTGTCAAATGTAGGGTTTGCATTGGAAGATTACCTTTAATTGCTTTCCAGTATTATTTCCAAAAGTGTTAGGATGGTATTGTGATAATGTCCGGAGAGAAATTGAGTGAGAGAGACTTTTATCTTTTAGAGTTACAGACGAAATTATATAATAGCTGAGACTTGCTTCAGCATAACCCAGTGTTGGGGTTGTGGGCACTGCACAGGGATAGAAATAAAACAGCACTGTTTTTGGGTTGATGGTTATTGAAGAGTGATGGATGCATAACAGCTCATTCTCTATATACACTTATCACTGATAAATTGTTGTTTAGTTGCTAGGTTGTATCTGACTCTTTTACAACCCTATAACTTGCCAGGCTCTTCTGTCTGTGCAGTTTCCCAGGCAAGAATGCTGGAGTGGGTTGCCATTTCCTTCTCCAGGGGATCTTCCTGACCCAGGGACTGAACCCATGTCTCCTGCATTGGCAGACAGATTCTTTACCACTGAGCCACCGGGGAAGCCCACCAGCCATAAATACACACATGCCTATGTATGTGCGTATACATGTTATCAGAGTTTAAGAGTGTGTGACCTAGGATTCTAACTGGTCCTTTGAAAACATAAGACTACTCTGACCTTATCACTTGTTAATTTGCTTCATGTGCTTTACTTTTAGCCTTTATCCCCATTCTCAGAACTATCTTTAAAAATTCCTGATATCTCCTGCTGAAAGTAGCCCAGGGTTGAAGTATATAGAAAAGTGTGTGTGTATGTGTGAGAAAAAGAGAGAGAGAGAAAGAGAGAGAGAGAGAGAGAGAAAAGGGATTTTAAGTCCTAGTTCTTTCATTTATTAGTCCTGAGTCCTTTGGAGCAACATTAACCAGTGAGGCCCTCACTGTTCCTATCTGTCTGGTAGAGATCACCACCCTGCCCTCCACAGTGAAAGTTAGTTGCAGTAATGTCAGTGACAAATGGAAGATGTTCTTTCCCCACTGACCTTCTACCCATCGTGATGTGAGTGTTGAAGTATTCCCGGACCCCTTTGCCCTGCGTTTGCCTAAGTAAATGGGAGAGACCTTTATTTTTCAGTTTCGAGCCAAAAACGCATTTGCCTTGTGCGTTCTGTTCAGTGAGCCCCTCCTGTCTCCTCATACACACATTTCACAGCTTAAGTGCTGCTTGGACTAGGGAGGAGAATCATAAAGTTTGCTTCATTTTAACCCTTCCTGAAAGCTAATTCTACTAAAACAATAAACCTATTTTCTGAGAGAGAAGGCTTGATTTGTGTTTTTTGCCAAAACTGGTATATGGAATTTCCAGTCATAGTTACTGCACACCTGGGATGTAATCATTGAATAACCAGACAGAGCAGAAGCAGCCTTGGGTCTTGTTCGAAACCATCAGCGTTGCAGACACCTATCCTGAAGTTTTGTATCTGGGGGACCAGAACATTGTGCTCTTGGTTCTCAACAGAGAAGAGCCACAGAAAATGGTGCTTAAAGGCCACCTGCGTTCCTGGATATTGGGCTTTGCTTAAATTGACGGAAGGTAAAGGTCAGCGTCCAGGCTTGTAAGGGGTATGCGTGGTTTGCCTTTTATGCTGGAGCTATGCTATGTTTGCAAAATGTCAGTGTTCGAGAGGGTGAAAATTAATTGCAAAGACATTAAAGTAGAGCAGGCTGACCCTGGGCTAGAGGAGGGGGGTTTGGAGATGCAGAGAGAGATGCTCCCCAGAGCCGCACTCTAGGAGTGAGGTCAGGGAGGGAGAATTTTTCATGGATGCCAAGGCATCTGTTCGGTCCAAGAGGAGGACTCACTGCCTCTGAGAGGCTGGCGCCTCCTGGCACAAGCTGTCTGGACTTTGGCAAGTTACAGAGACAACACCAGATTTCACATCTTTCCTCCCGCATCAGAGCAGCTGCCCTTGTAAAATATTCACTTAGCAATCAGTTTCCTATGTGTAAAAAATATAAGCAACCAGTTCTCTCATATGACAACTGCTGGGATAGGAGTGAGAGGGGTTGGATAATTCATGAAAGTATTCCTGCTGGTAGTGTTTCTGGTTTTCTGCATGACTTAGTGGGAAAAGCTTGCATTCAGAGTATAGAAAAATTTAACAATTATATTATAAATATTGATTCAAAGCAATAGTAGCAGTAGCAATAAAAGCTAAGACTCATAAAGGGCTTACTATGTGCCTAGCAATGTTATCCATGCTTTACATACATCGATCCATTTAATCCTCATAAAAACCCAATGAGACATGTACTTTTATTTTCAGCTCCCCACATCAGGCATGGGAAGGTGAAGTAACTTGCCCAGCAGCTAACAACCAGAGTGTGGTAGGGCAGGCCTTGGACCTAAGCAGTCCGGCTCCACAGTCTATGCTTGAAACTGTTCCACTGCACTTCTTGAACAGGCCGGTTGGAGGGTTCTGGGGCCTGGGACGGGCTCAGATGTGCGCACATGGCCGGCCATGTGAGGGACATCTTGTGTGCACGTCCCACACGGCATCGCAGGACGCACCACGCCTCCGTGTGAGCAGCCCAAGCCTGTCACAGAGTCGCGCCCGCCCCCCTGCTCGCCGGTGACCATGCCTTGCTTTCCCCCCCCAGCCCCGCTGGTGGACCTGACTCCAGCCCACAGCGGCTCCGCCATGCTGATGCTGCTGTCCGTGGTGTTTGTGGGGCTGGCGGTGTTCGTCATCTACAAGTTCAAAAGGTGCGTGTCCCCCTCCACAACCTCCCTCCCTCCCTCCCCCTTCTCCCCGACAGGTTCAGAAGCCTTTGTGGCCGTGATGTACACGTCCCGTGCGCAGCAGTGATGATTTCTGTTAATGTTTTAGGAAGATCCCGGGGATTAATGTTTATGCCCAGATGCAGAATGAGAAAGAACGAGAGATGGTCAGTCGAGTCAGTCACCCTGAAAGCAGGCCCTATGTCCCTCAGACTGAACCCAGGCGGCCTGGCCAGCTGATAGATGAGAAGGTGGAGCCCCAGCTCATAGGTAAATGACTCCTGGCAGCCCTCAGCTCTCCAGCCTGAGCAGTCCATGGCTGGCTCTCTCTCTAACCCCTCTCTGGCTTGACGTAACCACTTTCTGTGCTCTAACACCCCTGAGAGGAGCAGCTAAGACGCCTCTTTCCCCGCTTCCTTCCTTTAGAAAAGAGAGAGAGAGAAAAAAGAAAGCTTTCTCGCTCCTATCTAGTTTTTTCTCTTCTGAGTTTATTCCTTTTTTTTGCAAGAACGCTTGCTGAAACATTGGGCTTCAAGTGTTCATGGGCGAAGAGCAGAGTTTGTGCTGTAAGAGTATATGAGAGGGACAGAGCTTAGAGGCTAGAGCTGCTGATCCTAGAGGGCTGGGAGGTTTTGGGAGCCAGGGTTTATAACGACCAGAGCAAGCCATGGCACCCTCAGCTGGAGACGGTTCTAAGGACAGCAGACTGCTCCAGAACGCATGGAGAAGAAAGACTGATCACCCTGGGTTTTTTTTTTCTTTTAATCTAGCTTTAATCTAAAACTGTCCCCCAGGAAACATGGAACCTAAGAATTCTGAGGATAAGAGCCATCAAGTTTGCAGGACATGTCAGGAGTGAAGTTTCCTGGAGAGAGCACTGGAGGGTTAGATGGTTCTAGGGCAGCTGGCAGATTTCTTCCTCCTTTTCACCTGTGTCCTACCGGAAGTCTTAAAATGGATTTCAGCATCATTCAGTAGGGCTCACGCTGCCTGGAAAGAAAGCATGGGAATCCTACAGCTAGGTGTAGAAAGTCTCAGGGTAATTGCTATATTCTGCTATTAATTGAAGAGGACATTTCCCAGGAAATTAGATAAATCCATGGAGCCACCATTGTGACCCATTTCTCTCTTAGTCTCCTCCTGTCTGGTGGACATAGAGTAGAAGCTGTAAATGTTCCCATTTAGACCCTGCATTGCTGACTCTGATGGATACATTGTTATATAAGCATTCATGCTTTACTCTGATGTGATAATGCCAAACCACCTAGACGGTCCTTACCTAGGACTGTTAATCTGAAACCTGGAAAAGAAAGAAAAAAAAGTGCTTAGAGGGAAACAGCATCCTCTCTTTAAAGAGTCCAGGAAAGTTCTGTGGCTGTATTAAGGGGAAATTTAAATGTGCTGCCTGGCTTGTATGGGAGGTAATAATAACAATAGCCCCCACATCTGGTGTCCAGTTTTCACAGCATGCTTCCTTTTATTCAGGGAGACAAGGTTATAAATGCGTAATTGCTTTGGGTTAAAAAGAAAAAGGGTTTTTGGTCTTCAAGTCCAGAGAAGCGTTCACCCTGTCTATTTATTTCTAAAGCTTCTAAGTGCATTTTTGTGGGTTGTTTGGTTTTCAATGCCATTTCCACGGGGTGGGAAGCATAGGCACTGTTTGCTTTATTAAAGTAGCAATCCCTCCTTCATCAGGAACAGCTCCCAGCGCCTTGCAACTTGTCTGCCACCTTTCCATTTCCAGTGTCATTAAATGAGTAAGTGTTACACGTTTTCTCTTAGGAGAGTAGCTTTACCCTCCCCTCCCTCCCCTTCTGCTCAACCTGGTGACTCATCTCTCCGATTGCAAAGAGCAAGACACGCCACTCCACCTTCAACGCCAAAGCGGGGATCGGCTGGGGCCCAGTTTGCCATTTAAGGAAAACCCCCAAAGGCTACAGGCGACCGGCTGATCAGGAAAGAATTTCGCTCTTGTCAAGTGCATCCTTCTCCATGACCACTAACTTTGTGTTTTTTTTTTTTTTCCCCCTTTGTTGTTCTGTTTCCTATCTTGCCAGGAAGTATTTCCATAGTTGCTGAGAATCAAAGCACAAAAGAAATCCCTACCTATGTAAATGTTTGACTGGAGGACGCCAGTAAAAACAAAAACAAACATAAAATAAAAACAATCAAAATCCAAACAGACAAACAAACACTCACTGCATCGGGACTTTTTAATTCTTCAGACACAACAAGGGTTTTTAGCTTTAAGCCTGTGCATGTGGACAGTACCTTGAGAACATACTTGGAGGGGCAGTGTATAGGTGCTCTATTTTAATGGAAAAAAACACTCCCCTCCCCCTTTCTTCTTCTCTCTCTTTTTTTCTGATCGGTCGTGTTTGTAGAAAATTCCTAACATATATAGGCCAAGGAAATCTGCATGTATTTTTGGAAATATTCTTGGCTCTAGATTTAACAGCTCTTTTAGCACTATAGGCTGATGGGTGGATTAGCCACCCCGGCTCTTTTCACAAGACACAAAGACATGCACAGGAGTTCAAAACCCTGAGCTGTTTCTCTGTTCCACTTTCCTGGTTGCTATTTTCCCCGTCTCAGTTATCTTGGGGAGCTCTGTTGGCTGACAGTGGTCACAAGGTGGCCTTCTCCATTCTGAGTGGCCGTAGGGACAAAGAAGCAACCGCAAGTTCCATGGATGCAGGCAGAATAGGGAAGGAAGGAAGGGAAGAAAGAAGGCAGGAGGCAAGCGTGTTAAAAGTGGACCGTGGTTTCCCGTTCCCCCTTCCAATCATGATGACTTCTCCTCTAGTTTTCCCGACTCCTGCCCTGTATAGGAAACAGGATCCCAGCTAGCCACGTTCTGACCTTCCCATTTGTCTGCTCTCCACGTGTGGTCCCGACCTGTCAATGCCTTTGTATCTCTTCTTTCCAGTCCCCAACTTATCCTACAACGGCTCCTGCCTTTTCTTCCCAAACACGTTGCTAGATTCTGGACTTTCATCCTGATGTTCCTTAAAAACTGACCTCACCTCTGCCAACCCTGCCTCCACCACCCAAAGTTTCTGATCTCTGTGTCAGCTTTGCACATGCCCACGCATGCAGCCTCCATATACATCCTGCCCTGCAGGGGTCAGCTTCACGTTTTTTTTGTTTTTTTGTCTCCTCCTGTAGAACCTGTCTTTTCTAAATATCCTCGCCTTTCCCCACCTGGAAACACATGATGTGTATGAAAGAGTTGAGATATGCAAAGCAATTCAAACCTGGCCCATGTACCTTAGAAAAGAAAGTGTACGAATGAATGGTGGTTTTTCCTCACAGCTTAACAAATATCTCCTGCAGTCAGATTCCAGAAGATTCTTGTGAGAAATGTTCTGCATGTGTTACTGTGTGGCAGGGCAATTTCCTCCTGTGATGGTTGCTATTACCCAGTATTTCTTCTCTTACAGTAGAGTGAAATTATTTGTAAAATAAAACTGATGTTAAGCAGAAGAAGAACCTAGTTAATGGATTTAATGTTTAAGAGTGTCAAAAAGTCTAAGAATATATGGAGGTCTTGTCATATTGGGATGGGATTGTGATTACGTAGGATGACCCTAGACTTCTTACATGTGTGCTCTCTGCCCTGTGAGTCTCGTAGTATCAGCAAAGGACAATTTAATAAGTGTAAAGGGGTGGAGTTAGCAGACTCAAGCAGATTGGCTCAAAGCAGGAAGAAATCCCCGTTCTCCTAGAGCCATCAGGAAAGAAGGTCCAGAGAAAGTGGGAAACAAAAGTATGTCTAACAGCAGCCCTTGGAGTATTATGGATTGGATAGAGCCCGCTCTAAAATGTAAGAGAAAGGACAATGGCAGTATGCTAGAGATCCTGATGACCCCTGCCTTTGTGTAGCTCAAGTAGAGAAGAGTAGCAAAGCTTCACTCAGAAGTTAATCAAGCAGAAGAGTTTATGGTTGAAGATGCTTGGTATGAATCTGGGAAATAGATTATGCCTGAGGCCGCCATCTATTTGTAGTACTCAATTGATCCCCACCAACCTGCCAGGCTTCCTATCACACAGGAAATGTCTTCACTGATCCTCTTCAGTTGGAGCCTCCCAAATTTAATCTGGAAGACAGTGTTTGGAAACCAAACGAGGCTCATTCACAACAGAACAGGGCGTCATCAGAGTTGCAATTCAATTAATTTTAATTGGAAAACTATGAAAAAGGAAGTAATACTCAATCTAGCACAGTGCCTTGCTTAGAACAGGTATTAAGAAAATTATATGTTGCAAGAATAAATGAATACAGGAGAAGACATAGGGAAGAATGGGCTTGTAAGTCCTCATCTAAAACAGAGGTGGAGATGAGATGCCTGGTATTTTGGAAAGTGATCACAGATGGCCAGTTCTAGGTTCAGCATCTCCAAGGTCCTCATGTTCCTCTCCTTAGAGCTCCCTCCCACCTACAGGAGGCTGGTGAGGCAAAGTATATTGCTCAGAGGGGATCTTATGGTTCATATGATCTAGCTCCATGGTTCTCAAAGTGTCGTACACAGAGAACAGCAGTATCAGTGTCACCTCGGACTTGTTAGAAATGCAGATTTTATGTCCCCTTAACCTCAGACTTACTGAATTAGAAACTGCAGAGTTGGGGCCCAGAAGACTGTTTTTACAAGCTTTTCAAGTGGTTCTGAAATACACTAAAGTTTGAGAACCATCGTGGGAGGCCACACCAGCTCAATCCCAAAGAGAAGGTAGTGATGAGAGCCTGCCAATGGGAGGGACCCAAGTGCCTACCTACTCACTAACAGCAGGTACAAACACATTGAGGAGTTTGGTGGGCTCAAGGCCAGAGGAATGGGTGGGGAGGGATGGATGGGAAAGGTAAGATTCAGGGCAAACTGCAAATCTTATACTGAAGCATTTTCCAAAATCCCAGAGGGCAAACTGTGCATGCTCCACTCTGAACTACCCAACCAACGTTTCCTCCTTTGCCTTATTTTTAATTGGATTCACTCTCCAAAATGCAGAGTTTGCTTTGCTTTTTTTCAGAAGTTCCAAACAGCAACTCTGAGAGCAATGGGGTGCTTGGCAGCTGTTCTGTGTTTTCCAGGATTCTAACTGAGCATTGAAATTCCCTCATTTGCCAACTTATTTTTATAGGAAGCCAATTTAAAAAAAAAAAAAAAGAAAGTTTTCTTATAGTATTGGAACTACTTCTAATTTTAAAATGACTTTTTTGATGTATTTTTTGTTAAATACTATGTAGTGTAATGTATAATTGCTCTTGTTTATTGCTTTTACAATCATATTTATTAAACAGATAATGTCTCTAAAATCTATGCCTCAAGGTGTTTCTTTTATTCCAAACCTCAGTGTTCAGTCCAGATATAGAAATGCTAAATCTATAGGGTTTCATAAAGGCTAAATGCATGAGAGCACCACAGGTTTGAGGGCTTTGCGTTTGGGGGGGGTTGGTTTTTGCTGTTGAAGTAGGATATATAGTCTATTGCTTGAATTCTACCTGCATTTCAGTTGACTGTATAATGTCTGTTGCTTTACTATTGCTTTATTCTATTTAAAAATCACCCCAAGCTGGTTACATTGGAATGAGTGCCATTCTTTCTTTTTGTTCCTTTAAAATGAGAAATTATTGATATGGAACAAACTCATTCAAATTTGTTCAGAGGCTTGTAGATACTGAAGGACCAAACCTGCATGTAATAGACTGAAATTTGGGGAGAGGGGAGAGCGCAAATACTAGAGTAATTATGGCTTGCTACAGGAATCAGGACAATGGGGGTTTCCTCCCAGCTCCACCAGCTACGTGACCTTGAGCAGAGCTTTAGTGTCCTCATGTGGATAATTTGCAGGAAAAGGACACCTCCCAGAACTGTATTCTGAGTGGGTGAGTCATGTCCAAGAGTTCCAAATAGCTGACTTAAACTTGGTGGAAAATAAAGAAGTGGACTGGATCCAAATCTGTTTGGCCTTGTGGTGTGTTTTCTCTGTCAGCGTTTTGTACTTGTGTTTGGTTGAAACATTTGTGCAGACACAAAGCCCTCCAAAGCCTTTTCAAAGACCTGCCAGGCTCAGAATGGCATTGCCTCATTAGAACTGTCTCAGCATGCATGGGAATTTCTGTTGTTTTTCGGGTGGGCTTTCACCTTTCCTTTAACACAGACTACACTTTCCTTCTGACCCCTTATTTTTTCCCAGGCCTATACTGTTTTTCTCCATCAGGAGCAACTTAGCTCCAGTGTCACTGAGGGTGAAAGTGAAAGTGAAAGTCACTCAGTCGTGTCCGACTCTTTGTGACCCCATGGACAGTCCATGGAATTCTCCAGGCCAGAATACTGGAGTGGGGAGCCTTTCCCTTCTCCAGGGGATCTTCCCAACCCAGAAATTGAACCCAGGTCTCCCGCATTGCAGGCAGATTCTTTACCAGCTGAGCTAGAATTCATAGTATGTCCCTGAGGGTTCAGGCAGTCAAACAAAAGTTATCCATGGAGATTTCAGACAGAGAGGATTTAATACAGGAAATCTGTTGCTTGAGTAACTGAAGAGCCAGGATGCCAAATAGGGGAAGGTGAAGCAACTCCAAGATAAACATCAACAGGAGGCCTCTATCTTCCCTGGGCTGGAAAGCCAAAGAGATGCCCAGAGCCCAGGACCAGGCCCACCAGATGGAAGCTGAAGTCATGGAGGACGTGTCTGGAAGAAACTGGAGCCACGGAGGAGATACTGCCTTTGCCAGCACTGCTGCCCAGCAGAGGAGAGCGAGTGGGGGAGCTTGCTCTGGGCCTCCCGTCTCCCGCCAGTGTTTACCACTAGCTAAACCCAGCCACACACAGGCAGTGGGCAGTGGAACCCAGAAAATAGTTTTCTGAGTTACTAAGTAGAAAAAGGAGGAGTGGGAAGTGGACTTGAGAAACACAGATGGATAATTGGCACAGCACTTGTTTCAAGTTCTGCCTACTTCAAATCCAACAAATCTCCTTCCACCCAAAGGTGCTTACTAAATAGTTGGTGCTCCTTTCTCTATGCCACTCTTTCACATATAAGCCTTTAAACAACACATATTTAAAATGTGGCATTATGTTTATGTATGTCCTTTTATACCTTTCTCACCAAGTTCTATGCTCA